ATATATGCACATGAATTTTCTCAACTAATGATTGGCACCTGCTTAGAGATAGATAAGGGTCCATAGGATTCAAGGGGGGTTGAACTTAGTCTGCTTGTGGCTATATAGGGGTTTTAGGCTGATTCCTCTTTTAATTCCACCCCCAGATTCTGCCACTCCTACATCATCTTAATGAGTATAATAATTCAGGTGGCAAAAGAATCAAATTTCTAATTGGATAAGCATTTTTCATTCCTGCATGTTCTCTACTAGCTTATTAAATAACTCCCTCAAAAAGAAAAATATATGCCACTATTCATTCTCATTATCACATTGTTTGAGTGAATGTCTGACTGACCGACTGACTGAATAGGCACTACCTAATTTGCAAATAACCGAGTAGTTCACAATATACAAAAAAAAAATTAACATTATAAAACGAATAAATACACTTAAAATCTGGTCACTGAATAGAAAAACATCTACCAAGCACATCCCACAAGGGCAGGGGTGTCAAACTCACATCGCCATGGCAGTGTCACATGATGTAGCGGGACTCCTCCCCTTCGTTAGACTAGGCATGGGCGTGGCCAGTGTGTGACGCACCCAGCCCATGGGCTGGGAGTTTGACAATCTTCCACAGGGGGATTCATTCAACCTAACCCAAAATGTAGGAGAACCAGAGGTGGTATTCAGCACGTTCTGACCAGTTCTGGAGAAACAGTAGTGGAAAATTTTGAGTAGTTTGGAGAACTGGCAAATACCACCTCTGAGTGGCCCCGCCCCATCTATTCTCTGCCTCCTGAGTCCCAGAGGATTGGTTGGGTTTTCTTTTGTTGCCCTGCACAGGAAAACGGAGCTGGAAAGCAGGTTAGTGGGGTGGGGAGAGATTGGGGATTTTGTAGTATCCTTCCCCTGCCACGTCCACCAAGCCACGTCCACAGAACCAGTAGTAAAAACAATTGAATTCCACCGCTGAGGAGAACAGTTTGGTCTTTAAGGCCTTCCAGAACATCATTAGGGTAGGAACCCCACAGATTTTGGGGGGAACCTTATTCCAGAGGACAGGCATTGTGACAGAGAAAATATGTTTCTTGGGTTTGGAAAAGTGGCACTATTTATTTGAGTGGACTCAAACAAGCCAGCTCTGTTGAATATATACAACGGTTTTTATTAAAACGGGTAATGTAAACCTGTTTAATCACAGAACATGATATGGAAATCAGTCTGTGTAGTAGAAGCTGCATACATTAAATAGAAATAAGGTATTCCATATTCTGGGTAAGAATTTTACTTCACATAGATGTTCTCTTAATTGCCCTTCAATTCAAGTTGGAAGAAAGAAATAAAGTTAAGGCATTCTGTAACAACCTGGAGCATGTTTAGGTAACGAGTAAAACATTCATAGGAAATGCCACATTTCAAACTAGATACAAATTTCCCAAGACCTTTCTTTTCTTGAATGCTAAGGCTGATACCATTTACTATCATTTATTATCCATGTTTTGAAAAGTATCTATAGAAAAGCAGCATTTAGAGAGACTGCTATATTTATTTTGAAAGATATTCCTTTTAATGACCACAAAAGTGCTTTAGGAAGGTAATATGTAGGGTCTGTAATTGTAGATGATGTGGGCATGTGTGTGTCCATTTCTGTAATAATTGTTCATTTCTTTTTTTCCCATTGCTATTATCCAGCTGTGTTTCCTTCCTCCTTGATCGCTTATACTGTCTTGCATGAAGAAAACATTTAATATAGACTCTGAAATGATATTCATTGTGGTTTCTGCAGCAATGTCTTTCTCCTTCAATTACTTATAGGCCTTTTAAGCTGCATTATCAGGTACATCATTGGTTAGTTATATAATACATCTTTTATTAACCTGATTGGAAAATCCTTCTGTTAGAGAAATCCTAAAGCTCTTACACTGGCAGTATCAACAATTTTGCATTTTATTCATATTCATTCTGCATGCGATTGGCAGATACCTGCTTACAAAACTTGTTTTTAACTATTGAGAAATGAATATAGTACTACCAAGCTAAAGCTGAAACCACTCAGTTATTCTCTCTCTCTTTTGCTCTCTGCAACAGGTAGATCCAGGGAATTCTTGAGAACCAATTTGGTGTTCTAGTTAAGATGCTGAACCAGGAGTGGGAATACCTAGATTTCTACTCCTCTTTAAGGACACAAGCTTGTTTTTTTTAAATAAAGTTTTATTTGGGTTTTCACGCACTAAATACAAGTAAAACATCTTTTTTGAAAATAGCATGGTCCCGGGTTGAACTTCTTTACACAGACACAAACTCAATTTCATGATCCTTTTTCTATTCTATTCCATATCTTATACTATTTTACATTTTCTATATAGTTTTTCCCCTCTTTTAATTTTCTCAATTTTATTTTGATTATGTCATCTCAATTCAAATCATTATATGTATACTTTTGTCTGTTCTGTTTCAATTTCATATTATCTTTTCTCATTAAACAAATTTTATCCTGTAGTTACTAATTGGAGTATGACACCTTTATATCTTTTAATTACATCCATTCAACTCTTATTTAAACTTCCATATATACCTTAAGTTTATGACCTTCAATATAATACATAATACATAACTTCCAATCGAATTCTGCTTGGTGCATTCTTATAAAACACATTATATTCTTTTTTTAAAAAAAAGATAGATTGTAAATATATGTAATTATAAACCCTCATTCCATTCCAGTTCAGTTCTATCATTAATAATCATTAAAATCTTAACATCTTTAACACTTCTTTTCAATTAAATATCATACTTCCTTAAAAACACATATAATCTCCATAATTAATTTTCCCTTATTTCTCTTCACATATGTTTTATAAATCATTAAATATACCTTTTGTTACATTTATTTATTGACAAGCATTCCACTGAATTACGATAGCTATTTTATCAGACATTTTAATCATACGTTGTTTCATATTTTCTAAAATTATTTCTGCTTCTAATATAACCATACTATCTTATGTACCTTTGCAGAATCCCTTTTTCCATTAAGTTTTCACCCTTTATCTATAAATAGACCCTGTTTCTCTATATTTTGCTTCTGTTCTCCCTCCCCTTTTTACCCCCTCATCTCTCTAGTTCTAATCCTCTCTTCTGCATTTCCCTCTTCTATTGCTTTCTGATTTTATACTTATTTTTCACTCTGTTTTTTTTTTTTTTGGGGGGGGGGGGGGGGGGAGTTGTTTTTCCCAATCTTAAACTTTCCATTCTCTTTCTTCCCTTTCCTTTCTTTCTCCCATCCAAGATTACTTGTTCATTAAAGATGGCTTCTTCTTTGTCTCAATCTTCTTGTTCTGCGAGCATTTCTTGTTGTTTCTCGTAATTCCAAATCTCCATTTCTAAAAACTGAAATACGAAGCCAAAAGAACCTCTCCCTTCTTGTGCATCTTCTTTGTACTTTTTAAGTTCCATTTTCAGTTCTTCTAAAAGTGGAGCCATTTTAAAAAGTTTTAAACAACTACCCGATTGATTTTAGTCATTCAAAACAATAACCAAGAATCCAGAAATCATCAAGTAATCCAGATAGTCCCACGTTATATCTTCTTATTTCTTTTTTGACTTTTTCTTCCTGGGGTTTTTGTATCTTTTGGAAGTCTTGTTGAGATTTTGCTGTAAGTTCTTTTTTTAATTCCAGGCAGTCTCCTCCCTTCCAGATCCTGCCCTTTTATTCATCCTCTCCTTTCCTGTTTTCAAAAGCTTTTAATTATGCAAAAATCTTTATTATCCCTTTGACTTTTTATTTTCAGCATTAAATGCCTATTGATGTCAAAGTGGATTTTTTTCCAATTTCTTGCTTAAGTCTCTTAGCTGTCAGTATAGGAAAAGGAGAAAACCAAATCTTTTCCCTTTTCTCCTCCTTCGCAGCTTAAAAATCTTATCAGGGAACAATGTTATTGTTTTTTAACAGTTTCAATTCCACACTACCTTATTTGTTGCTTTTGGTCAACCAAAACTTTCTCTTCATATCATCCTCCTGCACATTATTTTCTGGTTGAGTTCTTCTTTGTGGTGGCCATTTCTGACCACCCCTGCAACCGCCTTAGGGAAAGGGAGTAATGGCCAGCTGTGGAGGAGAGATGCAGCTCTCCTCAACCCTGCTGGCAGTCTCCCCCCTCTTCATCACCTCCTGGCTCGGGGTGCTCCAGCAGCGAGCACGGATCGAAGCCTCACAAAGACAAGGTTTCGGTCTGTCGCTGAAGAAGCTCAAACCGGAAGAGGACACAAGCTTGTTGAGTGACCTTGGTCCAGTCACTCTCTCTCAACCCTAAACAGCAATGGACTCTGTGATAAGTTAGTTGATGGAAAATGTCACATCACATTATTTTTCAGTTCATCACATTTTTCAGTTTATTGATTAGCCCTTGGGCCATATCAAAGTACAGAGTTCCAGGCACAAATTATTAGTAAAACCTGATAAAAATGAATCACATGAATCACATTACAGAATCACAGTTTTGCTCTAAGAGCACAGTGGAAAAGGAAGTAAGTCCTGCAACCATGAAGGACAAGGGTTAAGAAAAACAGCAACAATTCAGAGAAATCAAGTCTTATCTTGATAAACTATGAGACTGATTATGAACCCATTGTATCTTTAGGTAGGGATGCTGAAACTAAGTTCAATTTTCAACCCCAATATTGTATTTTTGCTATTGTATGCCATTATAATAGATAGATAGATAGATAGATAGATAGATAGATAGATAGATAGATAGATAGATAGATAGATAGATAGTTTATAGATATATGGACACCTACCACCAGAAAGAAAAGTAATTCATGATTGTTCAAATGGAAAAAAAAGAGGGGGGGTTTACATATAGTTACATGCATATCCCTCTCAAAAATACCTTTTTGGGGTGAAGCTCATCAGTAGCCATAACAATACTCTTCTTAATATAGCACATCTGTTTCAAGAGAGATTATGTGATAGAGGTTTCCAATAGTATCGATATGTTTATCAGAGCCCTTACCGGAGGAGAGTTCTCATAGATGTTCGTACTGTAGGGGAGATTGATAAAAATTGGATCCATATCTTGTACATCTGTAATGGTGATTGCAAGATTGGCCAGAGCAGAGAGGGGCTTGGTTTTATCCTGATCCTTGAAAATGTATAAAGAGAAAATATTGACATAATGTTAAGTAAAATTCAATAGACAGTAAAAGGCTAATTTTATCTACAGATAAGGTAGGTCTTCTGTGACCCAAAGCTTCCTTTCTCAGAATTATGTTTTGACATTGGATGTTAAAAACTGATAGCATATTTCTCCTCTATTTTATACTGGAAAGAAGTGGAAATTGTAGTGTAAAACCTAAAATGCATAGTTAGCAATATAGAAAACCCTGTCAACTTTCAGCAAACTCCTCTCAAAAACACGATGCAAAACCCAGCCATTCTGGAACATTAGGTCTGATAAGTGCTTGTCATCCAAGAATTGCTCTCTCTTGGTTGACAGAATCGGCTATTCTATTATTGCCACAGTGTTCTAGAACTGAACATAAGAAATTATATTTTGCTAGGAGAGTTGGTGGGTCTTCTTTCACCGACAAAAGCTCTGCCAAATTTCAGACATAAACTATTTTCAGTTATGCTATTATCAAGGTTTGGATCTCATTGGACAATGTTTAACAACTGCAAACAATAGTCAACTATCTCAGCAACCTTCACCACTAATGTAGCTGCATCTCTTTTTATTTCTTTAAGAATCAGCATCATTTTCAAAACCTGTCAAATGCTATCAAGGGCAGGATGAGAACACTTTTTCCCCCCAATTATAAGCCACAGAAAGAGAAATTAATTTATTTTGCTAACTGAATGATACTTTCTAAACTACTTGTAATATTTTATATCATTAATGCAGATTACAGAAAGCCTTAATGTGAATGGCTGGTGGCCATATAATCTGATTTTAACTTTACTTTGAGATATATGTGTGTTGACTGTGATTATTTAGAGGAAACAAAAATGTGGGCTGCCCATGTTCCTAAGAGTTTTATGTGCTCCAAGGTTGTCCCTAAACTTTAAATAATTTTCTTCTAAGTCAATTAAAGCCCTGATTTTTTTTTATTTTTATTTTTTAAAAAAGCATGCTTCGTTCAGCATTTTTCAATCTTGGCAACTTTAAGGTATATGGACCAATTCCCAGAATTCCACAGCCAGCTTGCTGGGGAATCAGCAATTCATACATAAAGCTAAATTAAAGAATACTAATTACAGGTGATCCTTAACTTACGGCTGATTCCTTAGTGAATGTTCAAAGTTATGTCAGATACCTCCAGAACGAAGACTCGGTTTCAACATTCTGATGGCTGCCCCCACCTTTGTGGGCATGCAATCGCATTTTGTGCATTTGGCAACTGCCCACACTTACAACTATTTGCAGCATCCTTCAGTCATGTGACAATTTATACCATCTTTTGTTGAAACTGGTATTTACACTGTTTCTGGCAAAAAAAAAACCCAAAAAACACACGCACAGGGTACAATACGTTGTACAATTGCTGGTTCATTTAATGTCTGTGGTGTTCACTTCCGCATTGATGCAAAACAGATTGTAAAATCGGGCATGGACTCACTTAACAACCACCATATCTTATGACTGCAATTCCAGGAACTGAACTGCTGAAGGAGAAGATGGGACGAAAATTCAATATTTTGGAAAAGTGTGGTCTAGGTGGCTGACCAGACTTCTGGAAAGGAGTATTCATCTTCTTTTAACGGCCCCATAATCCCTCGCGGGATGGAGTTCTGGGCAACTGAATGCTTTAATGGCAGAGTGCTTTAATGGCTGGATGCCCTTCCTGTTGCCAATGCAGAGTTTTGTTCAGCAGATATATATTCAGCAGATATATTCTTAGCAAAATAGCATAATTGTCCTCAGAAGTGGAATTAGAACTGGGCATCTGCTTTGGATTGCTAGTCATTTAGGAAAATAGGTGGAGATCCACAGCTTTCAGCAAACACACACACACACACACACAAAAAGTATTGGGTATTCATTCTTGCGCTTCCTATATAACCAGCCCTCAACTTATGACCATAATTGAGCCCAAAATGTCTGTTGCTAAGTGAAACATTTGTTAAGTGAGTTTTGCCCACTTCTACCACCTTTCTTGCCACATTTGTTAAGTGAGTCACCGCAGTTGTTAAGTTAGAAATGTGGTTGTTAAGTGAATCTGGCTTCCCCATTGACATTGCTTAGCAAAAGGTCACCAAAGGTGACCACGTGACTCCAGGATCCTGCAACTATCATAAATGTGAGTCAATGACCAAGCATCTGAACTCATTGTGCTCAGAGAGAGAAATATCTGCTTCAAACTCACAGCCTCCTGATTGTGGGACGAGAGCTCCCCTTCTAGGCCACCACACCACATTTATAAGTCGAGGACCACCTGTATAATATTCATCTAAAATGTCTGCATGAAATTTATTCATCTGCAGCCCCTTCAATTGTTCAAGAGACAATGAAAAGGGAGCTGACCCATACTCACTGTGGCATTCACTTGCAGCTGATAAGCCTGGGTGACTTCGTAATTCAGTGGACGAATAACGGATACAATGCCACGGCCACTGTCAATGGTAAAGAAGTTGGACGGTGGCTGAAAAGAGTAAAGCACGCTCCCTCCTGCTCCTTGGTCTGGATCCGTGGCATTCACAATGAAAATTGGAGTTCCCACTGGTGTGTTCTAAAAATTAACCAAAAATACATGCAGTAATTAAACTCTTTTCCTAGAACCGCCTGGTTTCTACTTTTTAAAAAATAAAATCAATGATTGCCATACCATGATCAAAAGGGTAAAAATGAATTTACTGGACATCCAGTGAACCCTAGCAGATTTAATCATTAGCAACAATTATCACAAAGGTCCAGAATTAAAGACATACAAGTATGATCTGGTCTTGTGAAAGACAAAAAACAAAAATGACATCATTACGACCTGTCATGTATTGTGGGTTTGCAACCCCAGCCCCGTCCATTAAAATGATAATTCTATTTAAAGTATTAGCTTGTTTTAACAATTCCACTGATACGATTTTGACTTGTATGTGGAAAATTCTTTATTTTTTTTTATTTTTTTTTTGAATAGCAAGCAAATAATATGAACACAAGCATGCATGGCAACTAACTGTTACTTTGGTACTTTTCAAATAAAACAATTCATGTCATTCAGAACTCAAAATAGATTCCGTGGATAAAGGCTGAGTTTAAGACTGCTATAGTATCAATATTGATTAAGGGGGTAGGGAACGGAGGATTATATCGGGCAGAAAAGATGGAAGTGGATTTGTTGTAGTCTGTCATTCTTCCAGTCTTCCTTCATCCATATAGGCGAAGGGATTAGGTCTCTCACAAAATGCTACTTCATAATGTCGCTTAAAAGGCTTTTAACTAAGTTCTTCTACTTTGACTCTATTAATTTTGCTTGCCAAGATCTTTACCTCTAGATATGCTCTATAACACTCTTATCTTGAATTGCTCTCTCTCCAATAGCCAAGTGACTACAGAAATGAACTAATGGCATCTTTAAAAAAAACTAATTACAGAATTTGTTTTTCTTACTGAAATAGTTTTTTGTTAAAATGTCCTTAGGATAAAAACTGCTTAAAATCTGAATTTTTAAAACTTTTACTAGTCTTAATGTTTGCAGAAATTTCAGCTGCTTCTTTCAGCAACATTCTAAATATTTTTAAAAGTTTTGCAGGGTCAGTTTAAGCCATTTCTAACAAAATGGACTTACTCAATTTTTAAGAAGTCCTTATCTAGTTTTTCATGGTTTACTCTGTTGGACTTTAGATTAAAAATAATACAGATTGATGGTTAATAAGAAGGAAGGAAAATACATAAATAGATCATTAAAATCAGGCTTGTCCAACCCGCGGCCCATGGGCCGCATGCGGCCCAGGTCGCCTCGTAATGCGGCCCAGTGCCCACCCCAACCTTCATGCCAGAGCCAGCGAGGAGAAGGAGGAAAGGCAGGCGCGAGGCGGGGCAAGGCGAGCGCCAGGCCAAGCAGCAACAGAAAAGGCGGGCGCCGTCAGAGCGCCACCTCCTGCTGTTGCCGCCGTTGCCGCTTCTGCCCCCGCCGCCACCCCCGCTGCTCCCGCCACCCCCGCTTCTGCCCCCACCGCCACCGCTGCTCCCGCCGCCGCTGCTGCTTCTGCCCCCGCCGCCACCGCTTCTGCCGCCGCTGCCGCTGCCTCTGCCTTCCAGTCCTGCCGCATCCAGCTGCGCCATTTGCAGGAGGAGAGGTAGGCGCGATGCGGGCGAGCTTCACCCCCCCCCCCGCAAAATTTGGCCGGAAAATAAACCGTGATAAAAAAACCATGATAAAAAATAAATAATTTTTAATAAATAATAAATAATAAAAACATCTCACTAACTTCATTTCCAAATAAATTTAATATGTTAACTATGGTTCTTTTGGATGATCAGGTATCGTTACTGTTATTTTATTTTATGTGCGGCCCAAACCAAATTTTCATCTTCTAATGTGGCCCAGGCAAGGTGAAAGGTTGGACACCCCTGATTTAAATGATATCTTGTAAGGTGTGATAGTAGTATTAAAAATAGTTCCAGTAGCAATAACATTTAGAAAACCATAATATGCACTTAATTAATACAAATCATCTTTTAAAGTATTCCTTTAGTTACTATTTTACATATGAAAACCTATTTGTACCAGTTAATGTATGCAGCAAAAATAAAGAATATGATTTTCCTATTATTGTGACATACTGTAGAAGTTGAAATATAAGACTCTGAAAAAAATGTCTTCAGCAGGCCCCATGCAAATTTCAGGAGTTAGGTCTCAGATGTTTTTAAATGTCAGTGATTGAGAGACACTATTTTATAGGCAAGAGTCTTCTGATTTCTGGACTTAACCAAGTGCTATTTGTCCATAACTTTCTATTATTCTTATTCTTATCATTATCATCATCATCATTATTGTTATTATACAGAAAAAACAACAGTATACACAGCAAATGAGATGACTATGCTGGGTTTCGTATCACAAATCACTAGCCGAACACTTCCCAAGGGTTTAGGACTGTGTGATGTATCGTTGGGATTATGCAAGTAGGTCCCAGTAAGGTGCCCCTCTGCAGCTGACCAATGGTGATCTTGTCAGTGCCAATTGTTTTCAAGTGCTTGCCTAGGTCTTTAGGGACAGCACCCAGGAACTGTTCAGGTAGCATCGGAGGATGCTATTATTATTATTATTGTTGTTGTTGTTGTTGATATTGTTGTTGTTGTTATATTTTGAGGTCACTTAATTTCAAAAAGACTGGTTAGCTTACAACTATACACACACACAGAGAGAGACACACACACACACACACATATATATTTTTCTTAGGTTTTCGCAGGTACTTACATGTATGGTATTCAGCTTTGTTCGGGTATTTTCCCATGTCATTACAGTTGTGCTTTTAAAGTTGACGCAATGTTTCGGCAGAATCTCATCTGCTATCATCAGGCTTCTGTATTGTGTTCATCTGTGGGTCAGACTTTCACAGCCGTTTCTGTTTTAAATTTGGTGATAGCCTACACTGTGCCAGAATGGTTTGTCTGACTCACAGACGAACACAATACAGAAGCCTGATGATGGCAGATGAGATTTTGCCGAAACGTTGCTACAACTTTAATGACGCACAACTACAATGACGTGGGAAAATACCCAAACAAAGCTGAATACCATACATACATACATACATACATACATACATACATACATATTGAACACAAAGACAAAAAAAATTAACATGAAGACAAAGATGATACAGTACCAAAGTCACCAAGGAGATCCACATGCACCCCAATCTCATGTCTGAGTGCAGCAGATCTTCAAAGATTTAAGGAATATTTTAAAGGTAGGAGGCTGTTCCAGGGAATAGGTGTTGTAACAGAGAAGGTACTCTTCCTTGGTCCCACAAGATGGCAACATTTAATTGAAGGGACTCAGAGTTCACCCACTTTGCCTAATTGTTCCAGGTGGTCAGTACCACAGGAGAGAGACATTCCTTCAACCCTCAAAGGAGATCATAGGTTATAACTTGAATTGAAGCTGAAAGCCAAATGGTAACCAACATAGGTCACAAAGCAATGATGACTTGTGGGTGTAATGAGAGATGCTAATTTACGGCCTATACTGCTGCATTTTAAACCAGCTGTAGCTTCCAGATGGCATCCAAGGGCAACCCTATGTAGACTACATCTCAATAGTTCAGTTGTGAGATGATCAGGATCTGAATGGTCCTCTGAAGGACCTCTTAGTTGAGGAAAGGGCAAAAATGATGCCCGGAGTGATCCAGAATCCTTTGTGCTCAACCTTTGAACAACATTTACAATATTCTATTTTTATATATGTCAAACCTGAAAAGCTTCTTTTCTTTTCAGGACAACACAATAAATATTTCATAGTGGCCAAAAGCCAATTTTTCTATGAATTTCTTTTTGCTGAGTCTCAATCACAAACCGCAATGGTCAACATCTACCAGTGAGAGAAAAGAAGGTGGTAACGAAAGATTTGGAGAAATTTTTTTAAAAAAAAAAAACCCTAAGAGGTATTCACTTATGGAAATAATTAAATGTAAGAAGCAGCTTTAGGAGTATATTCCCAGAGAATATTAATTCCAGCTGGAGAAGAGAAATTAAAAACTGGAATGACGAAGCCGAATGAAATGATCTTGTGGAATAAGAGTTGATTTTGTACTGGAGCAACAGTTAAGCTTGCCAGGTAGGATTCATGCGCTAGAAGGCTGAGCAGGGGAAGAAAAACAGTCTATCACTTGTTCCCAATTGCATAACCAAGATAAAACCATCGGCAGCAACATGACCAAACATGCTAAAGGGACATTCCTTTTTCTCCTACAATATGTCCAGCTCTGCTACAGTACGCATTGCCAGCTGTGAGGCCTTCTATAAAGAGGTATGTGCGGTTCCAAATCATGTTCGATCAATTTAATTTACCACAGTTAGACTCATCCAATCAAGGTGTAGAAACATATCAGCAACGATCAAGAGAAATGGGAGGCACCTGAGCTAAATTTCAAGCGTTGTTGCAAAAGGTCATATATTTATGCCACTGTGATGTCCCAAAGGTGCTATTTTCAGGAGGCAACTGGACTTTCTTGTTTTTTCTTTTGAAGATGTTTCGCTTCTCATCCAAGAAGCTTCTTCAGTTCTGACAGATTAGTGTGGAACGGAAGGATTTATATTTGTTGCAGACAGCTGGTCATTTGTATCCTTTTAGAGGGTTGTTGAAGCACTTGGAGGTTTATCTGAGTCTTCAGGGTCACCTGGTTAGTGCTCCTGGTTCCTGTAGTCTGCATTTTTTATCCCTCTGGAAATCCGTACTCTCACACCATTCCAAAGATGTTCATCCCAAATTGCAGCAGTTGGTCATTTGCATTCTTTTAAAGAGTTGTTGAGGCCACCTGAAGGTTAATCTGTGTCCTTATCTCCCTATAACCTTCAGAGGACTTCTATCTCAGTGTTGGTTTTCTAATGTTTAGGATTTTTAAAAATTCTTAAAGAAAAAATGGTGAACAGTTACATCCTATAAGTAAACTCAAATGGCCCCATGCAGAGGTGGTATTCAGCAGGTTCTGACCAGTTCTGGAGAACCAGTAGCAGAGAACTGGCAAATACCACCTCTGACCGGCCCCGCCCCTATCTATCCTC